TTTTTTGGAGGGGGGGGGGGGTCCTTGTTATATTTAGAGTATGATGGTACCCCAGACCCTATTTTGGGCCCATTATACAATAATTATAATAAGGGACCCCCCAAAATAGTATTGGTAATTATGCGGGCCCCTACATTACATGGTTTGCGGAAGGAATAGGGTTCCAGAATAATGGGGCCTTGACAGTTTGCCGGGAACCTTCCTTCATTCATTCCTTGTAAAGTTCGAAAATTGGGGCCTGAATGCTTTGAAGGGTTCCGGGGTATGCCTCTTCAACCCCTAAACCCTAAAGCCTAGGTCGAGACGACGGCCGAGAAGCTTTAATGCCGGCCGCGCTACAGCGGAGTTGCGGCCTGGGCATCTAACAGATCACTTTGCTGCCGTAACCCTTTATCTACATCTTACATACATGGTATATAGATACATACATGGTATATAGATACTATATACATATTATACACATGTTTAAATGACATTTTATGTGCATATAATTATACATACATACATACATACATACATACATACATACATACATACAGACAGACAGACAGACAGACAGACAGACAGACAGGCAGACATACAGACATACAGACATACAGACATGCATGCATGCATGCATGCATGCATGCATGCATGCATGCATGCATCATGCTTGGTGTTGCGAGTCGAGTGAGGGGTGTCCAAAAGGACATGCATCGGGGAGATGCCAGTCTTTATAGACTGCCCAGCAACGCAAGACCCTCTTGCGGCGGTTGAAAGAAAGTATGTGTATATATATATATATAAACAGATTATACACATCATGTGCACAGGTACATAAAACTTAACACCCATACATCCTGGATTAAACTCACCTGTCTGCTGCAGCTCGGGGACGCAGTCGGCCGAGACCAGCCTGCTTCAATGATGGATTGCTGTATTCTGCAAGGGCTTGGGGTTCAGGGTTTGGGTTAGGGGGTCTGGGTTAGGCTGTACGGTTTGGCTTTCCAGCTCTGCAAGCAGGAAGGAGTTCCTTTCAATGGATGAGAGCTGAAAGGCTAAGAAGCTTTAGGGGCCTTAAGACTGTTGAGATCCCTGTCATCGTCCCTAAGGGTTTCCAGATTGTCTGCACTGCGAGTAGGACTCCTTGTGATCGGCTAGGGCGTTTGAGGTTGTCGATATGTTTCCTACGGGTTAGAGATGAGGGCTTCGGATACCTCGTTCCGTGCAGTCATGGTTCATCGCATTGCATACCGCAAGGGGGATCAGCACGGTGAGTGGGAGCTGTGGTGTAGATTCGATTCCTTGGACTTTATCATACTTTTCTGGTATGCACACTCATGGCATTTGCCATGCGCTTCCGCGCATCTCGCTCCCGCTTGCAGTGCTGAATTCTCCCTGCCAACGTTGCCAGTCCAAGATTCTGCCGAGGCAGCAGGACTGCTTAAGGATTGCAGCTGTCTGATGATATGTGTGTAATTAATTGTCTAAATTTGCGCCCCTATTGAGATACGAAATATAATACGGTCCCCTTATGATCATCAGGACCCTAAACATGTAAAGGAACCCTAATTTAGAAAACTGTTCATGTGCTGGCCGCTGCTGGCCGGAGACTGGCAGAAGTGCCCCAGCTGCTAGATGTGCATTCCAAAGCTTCTTCCCGTAGGTTGATTGATTCTCCCATTTACTCTATGGTTTAGGGTTTAGGCTTTAGGATGTCACCCGCAGAGCCCACTGCGAGGATTCTACCTTCACTCGTGATACTAAGCAGGGGTAATACCCTAAACCTAAACCCTAAACCCTAAACCCTAAACCCTAAACCCTAAACCCTAAACCCCTAAACCCTAAACTAACCCTAAACCCCTAAACCCTAAACTAACCCTAAACCCTAAACCTGGAAAACTGCGGCTTCGGTGCCAGGGATGGCTGCGCCTGAGAATTGGCAAAGCATCCTTCCTGCAGCAAGGTTTAGGGTTTAGGGTTTAGGGTTTAGGCAGCAAGAAGCGGAAAAGCAGGGGCTCCCGACTGTGTAATTATACTTGGGAGCCCGAAGGAGTACATACTGTAGGGGCCTTCATAATTAGAATAGGGTTTTGACACTACACTATACTATACTTATAACAAGGACCCCCCCCCCAGAATAGTATAGGTAATTAGCCCTAAACCGTGAAACCTTGAACGCTATAAACCCTAAACTCTAAAACCCTAAAACCTTGAACCCTAAACCCTAAACACTAAACCCTAAACCCTAAACCCTAAACTCTAAAACCCTAAACCCCCAAACCCTAGAATCCGAGAAAGTTCCTGTGACTCACGGCATAGCTGGTCTTCGAAGGTCTCGGGCTTTAGGGCTTAGGGTTTCTTGGGTTTTAGAGTTTGGGGTTTTGTTTCGGGGGTTTTGAGGCCGTAGGGTTTGGGGCTGCTTAGGGTTTAGGGGTTCAGGGGTTTAGGGTTTAGGGTTTAGAGCTTTAGTGTTTAGGGTTTAGAGGTTCAGGGTTTAGGGGTTTAGGACTTAGGGTTTAGAGGTTTAGGGTTTAGAGGTTCAGGGTTTAGGGCTTGTGCTTCAGGGCCCTAGGGTCGGGGTTTTCGGCAGTGGTGACACAGCCACATGGTTTTGCAGGTGATTTCGAGCCTATAAGATGCGAGACCGCGGTCGGTTACATGCTGCGACCTACTCTCAATGCTTCGATGTGCGCATGCGCGCATCACTGCTCTTTCCCATCACAAAACAAGCAAAAGTAGGAGCACGAGAGCCTAAACCCTAAAACCCTAAATGGCTGCCTTAGGGCTTCTCCCGGCTGAGGGTCGTCCTGCACGGCCAGTAGGACGCCGCCGACGGCGAGGAACGTGGCCACGCCACGGTGCCACGGTGCCCGAGCGCGCGCCATGGCCGCCGGTCACCCGAAACCCTATAAAGCTTAACCGTTAACGTTTAGAGACGATTGGGTGCTTTGGGCATCTCGGTTGGGGACGAGTGGTATCCAAAGTCTCCGGAATGAGCTAAGATCGGCTCTGAGCTCAAGCCTTGTCCCTCCGTGCACTTGGCATAGAGCTCGAAGAGAGCCAAGAGCCGCGATTCATGGCTGTTGCAAGGTTCGCGCACGGTTTCTGTGAATGTACCCCCAGCATAGTTTTGATAGTTTGCCCGCAGAGTTTTGTGTGAGGCTTCGCGAACGTATGCACATCTGCCTCAGCTCGCTGAATACTGAAGATTTACATGTTTTTAAGTAGGGGATAGGGACTGAGGCGTGGAGATGGATCGGAGAAATAAGCTAAGCTTAGTTCCGGATCCAAAGAAAGAACTTGCACTGTCGGGTGGTTTCGGGTGCAAGTCACAGATCCTATGTCCTCATGTGGCAGTATCTATCCTTGGACCCTTAACAGTCCGTCTCGGTAGGAAATCTCCTGCCTTTTGTCGTGCGCCAGGTACTTTTATAGGGGATACTTCAACAAATCATACTAGTAATTCGTCATATAGAAACCCTACATTCTACTATATAATAGTATAGGTATTTCGGAAACCCTTACAGGAAATTATCTCAAAACCCTAAACCCTTAAAGCAATTCTTAAAAGAACCCTTATAGGGATTTTGGACCCTTTGGGAAGCAAACAGCCTCCCCGGCGCCCTTCGAGTAGAATCGGGACTATTGCTCTTCTTTGAGACCAGGAAAGCTTTGCACACATATCTTCAACCAACCTAATGTAGGGGCCTTGATGCTTAGAATATTGGAATAGGGTTTTGGGCTCCTTTATAGTATACTTAGATGTCGTTGTAATAAGGCGCCCTAAACCACGCCTTCGTAATTATTGAAGCCCCTAAATTATACAGTCTCAGCATCCGCAAGGACTGCCTAGTCCTCTGCTTCCTGAAGCACCGGCGGGAAGGGGAGGGGGCACCAAAGCTTCTTATTGCCGGACCATCCATGTCGCCAAGTACGCAGGCCAGCCATGCAGTCCTTGGCAACGCAATGCCATAAACTACAACCTGCCCCCTAAACCCTAAACTCTGAATCTTTTGGAAACTTCCAGTGTTCAGGCCGGAGGTGTAACAAGAGGATCAGGCACATCTGCAAAAACCCTTGCAGGCATCTCCAACTTGGGTTTAGGGCTCAAGGTTTAGGAGTCGCCAACCAACAAGAAAGCACACTGAGACATCGGCGAAAGGACGCTGTGCAAGGTCACCTCAGGGCTTTGTGTCGTGACTGTCGGCTTCCCTCGAATTCTGGTGCCGATGTTGATCATATATGCTCCAAAGCAAAAACCCTGACTCACTGAGGGTTCAAGGTGAGAGTTAAGATGTGCAAGATAGCTTCCTTGCACATACGCAGTATATACGCATGGCAAGCTAGATGCAAAGGCCCATGAAGTGAACGGCTGCCTCGAAAACCCGGGACTCTTACCTCTTCCGAGTTAAACCCCGAACCCTAAAAGCCCAACTTAAACCCTGAACCCCTAAACCCTCAACCCTAAACCCTAAACCCCTAAGCCCCTAAACCCTAAACCCTAAACCCCTAAACCCTAAACCCTACACCCTACCCCATAAGTCTTCGGGGTTTAGGCTTTCGGATTCCCCGGTTCAGGGGTAATAATGATAAGGGCTTATGAGGAAAGAAGCCTCAGATCTTCGGGTTTAGGGTTTAGGGTTTAGGGTTTGAGGGTTTAGGGTTTAGGGTTTAGGGTATAGTAGAAGCCAGAAAGTTGGAACATGATTACCCTCATGCCCTTAAGGGTTTAGGGTTCAGGGTTCGAACATGATTACCCTCATGCTCTTAAGGGAGAGGATAAGGGATCCTAGCACTAATCCTTCAAAAGCCATGTTCCAACTTTCTGGGATTCGGTTTAGTACCCTGAACCCTAAACCCTAACCCTTAACCC